AAACAGATTTAAAAAAAAGGGGGGGTGGGGTGGATTAGACGGACTAATGCGCGCCTAGGCGCGCATTAGGCGCACATTTTAGTTAGAAAAAGCATTTTTCCCATATTTCCCGAATTCGACGCGTTTTGGTCGCGCGTCGCACCTAGGCGGCGCGTTTTCCCCTTTTTTAGAACAATGATATATATACACTAAGCCCTTGCTTGATGGATATTATTTTGAGAAAATATAGTTTTGAATAGTGATTTTTTTTAGAACGAACGATTAAAAAGTAAAGAAAAATTATGGGTTTACGTACAAAATATTTTATCACGTAAATGTGTAGTTAAAAATTAGTACGATAATTAACAAGTTCTGAAATAATGGTTCTCATACAGGGGCTAAATAACACAATAAATTATTTTTTATAATTACTTTTTGTTTTAGGATATTGTTCAGTCACTTTCACTCTACTAAACCATTGTTTGGTGGTCTTTTTTTTGCAAAAGTATTGTTTTAAATAATTATTTTTTGAATAGTGTATGGTTAAAAAGTATTGAAAAATTTAAAATATACGTGTAGAATATTTTATTATAGGACAATAAGACTTGGTACAAAATTATAAAATCATGTTTTACTTGAAAATAACATAAAATAAAATCTAACCCAGCATTAATTTATTCTCAAAATCAACTCAATCTTTGAACTGCATTAAAATATTTGTTAGTCAGAATATATTTTATTGGATCAATTATATTATGGTTATTGAGTTGAATGACTACAATTTTCAAACAAAAGAAAAAGTCAATTCAATAAGTGGTAGTTAATGACTGAAGAAATAGGACGAAATCAATAATACGCGATCATGCAAATAATTAAAACTTCAGGGACTCAATTGCAAATAATAATTTCGCTTCAGTTAGACATTTGTTTTGCGCCACGAGGGGCACATGCGCGGCACACACTACTATTAGTTTCCCCATGCTTAACCTCTTAAATAATTTCATTCAAAGTTTTCGTATACAAGTTGTTAAAGAATAAAATCTCACATCGAATAAAGATAAAAATATAGATCAACTTATAAAGTTTAGACTGCATGGAACCCCAAATTTTAACATAATATCAGAGTCCATTAAAATTTAAGTTCACGTTCAAAACGATTTATCAAATGAAGCATATGATCATTATTTTTACAATACCCGTAAGATAGAAAAGACCATTAACTCAATCTTGTAGGTTTAGTTTTAGATCATTGGTAAAAGGATTTCTCGAAGATTAGGTGCAACATTCAATTGATCCTACGACGCAGCATGTATTTAAATCAAATGAATTTAACGATATAACATTACAAAATCCAAATTTTAAAGTCAACTGACCAACGTCCGTACATTAGTTTATCGAGCGTGGAGCTCATATTCATTTAGTCACAAAAGTTGAAAGTTGAAGTAGAGTTCATGTTTAACAATGCAAGTTTATTTTAGCGAAATAAAATACAATTAAAATCTTGAATTTTAGGTTTTTTCAACTTTCTTACGATAAAAGTCAGCAGTCTTACATGTAACACAGTGTTGAAAATTGTCGAGTATTAAGCAGTTAATATCAAACGGGACCTAATTGATGGG